CGCATTTTACCCTTTCCTTTCCCTTTCTTTCGCATCGCCTGTCTTCTTCTCGAGTAGCTTAGCTCTGCATACTTGACCTGCAAGCTTAGCCTCGCTTCTACTCCCTCCTGCATCGTTGGTCCGGAGAGCTAGGCGAGTACGGAAGAGCGAGCGAGCATTCCCAGCGAGAGTGCTTCGGAGGGAGAGGAAGCGGGCGCAAGAGATTCAGCGAGAGGAGGCAGGCGCAACGGCGAATGCTCGACTTGTCGATGGAAATCCGTTGCAACACTCGCTGCCTCCAGTACCGCTCGCCTCTTCCTCCTCAGACAATTATCTCGACCTCACCCACCGCTCGCTCGCCCAGCCTGACCGCCCTGTCGTTCCCCACATCCAGCGTCCCATCGTACGACGCTTCTTTCGTACTCCAGGCGGCGAGGAGCGGGGTGAGTGAGCGGAGGAGAGATTGTGGAGGGAGCATGCGCGGACGATCGGAGGAGGCGGAGAGAGGGAGCCGCGCGATGAGCGAGACGAGCGATTGAAGGAGGGTGTGGGCTGTGCGTGACAAACACGCCACCTTTGATCAGTACCTCTTGCCTTTGGTAGCGCAGAGTAACGATAGAGGGAAGTGTCAACGCACCTTCCGCCTTTTCCGCCTCCGTTGCCTCCGCACCCTCTTCCTCCTCATCTTCCTCCTTCACATTCTTCACATCCTTTTCACTCTTCACCGTCTTGCGTTTCTCCCCGCTCGCACTCCCGCCTTGCCGCGCCCGCAACGCCCTCCTCGTCCTCCTCACTCCCGCCCGTCCCAACCTGACGATCCTCTCCGCGTTCCGTTCCAAGACGCTCCACACATCCTCCCCTTCCCCGCCTTCGAGCGATCCAAGCAACTCCTCCGGCCGCTCCACCCCAAACTCCCTCAGCACGCTCTTTTCCTCCTCGCTAAACTCGACCACAGACTCGATCCTAAGCGCCTTTTCCTCCCATCGTCGAGTACGGAGCTCGCTTAGTGCGCGACTCGCGCTGCGTGTGTAGGGTTCTGTCGCACCGGATGAGGAGTCGTGCGTTGGTGCGAGGGAGGAGAGGAAGGGGGAGGGGTAGGAGAGGAGGGTCGTTGGGCGTCGAGTCGGGTTCAAAGCTGTCCACCCATTCCGTCAGCGGTGGAGAAGACGAAGAAAGTAGGCGGCGGACTCACGATCGAACACCCTCCGGTACTCGTCCCCCTCTTTGCCCCACAATCCAGGTGCCATCCCTACTCTCTGAGCAGGCGCAGTTGTTCGTGCGACTTCGGTGCTGGAAGGTAGAGGGCGAGGGTTGGAGGAGCCGAGAGGCGGGGCGGGAGGAGCGGAGGAAGCAGAGGAGGAAGTTGGGTGGACGGCGATCAGGTCGGTGTCGTCGACTGCGGAGCACATTCGTCAGGCGAGCGCAGGAGATGGGTCTGAGAGCGGTGAGACGCACCGCGGGAGAGCGCTTCGAGGTCAGCGTCGGAAAGAACCGCGGCGGAAGTGAAGAGGTCGATCCCGTTCGCGAGGGTGCGGTGCAGCATGTACTTGCGTATCTTGCTGGGTGGTTGGTCGGCTGCGAAGGAGTCATCTGCGCGAGAACATCGTCGTAGCCTAAAAGTCAGCTTGTCTTCCCGAGAAAGGCCGACATTAAACAGCTCGACACGCCGAAACGCACCTTCCACATCTTCCTCCTTCTTGACCTTCCCCTTCCCCTCCTTCTCCTCATACCTCCTCTCCAGCTCGTCCAAGACGCCCCCAACAACCCGCTGGAACTCGTCGACATCGTTCAAAAGTCGGGCGTTCGTGTCGGCATCTGCGTCGAGCGCCATGGCGGAGGACAGGAGGGCTGAGGTACATGATTCGTTCAGACAGGCCTGTCGAAGAAGTCTCTCGTCAGCAAGGAAAGACCATGGGGGGAGAAAACTGGGAAAGGGAACGACGCACCCGCAGGACGGAGATGGGAAGAAGGTCGACTGTGTCGCTGAGCGCGTCATGCAGAGTTTTCGGCGCGGTGGGCACCGTGAGTTGCTGTTCGAGGAGGGTGGCGGGTGCAAGGCTGTGTCGAGGGATTCAGAGCAGGAGGTTCGGCGTGAAGTGGAAGGCATGCAGAAAGTTCGGATTGTCAGCAAAGACTGTTTCCAAACCCCGCCAACCCGACACAACGCCCCACACTCTCGGAGACGCGCCACTCACCTCTCGACGACGACCCTGACCTTCTGCCTGTCCTCCTGCGTGATCCTGGGCGAAACAACCTTCGACTCGTCTACCGCCTCTGCCAAGTGCACCAGATGGTCCGGCTGCGCGTGCGCCTGTGAGTGGGACCTCTTGCGCGGGTGCGAGCGCTGTTTCGAGTGCGCTGTGGGCGATGTTGATGCCGGGTCGCGAGATGCTGTGGAGCGGGAGGGGGAGGGTGAGTTCCGCGGTGGGACTTGGACTGGTGGGTCGTACGCACTGCTGCGTGCCATCCTGAGCCTAGCACAGCCCTTTCCAGCCCAATCCAAGCGAGAGCAGCGTGTGGTTCGCTCTCATCGCTCGCTCGCTCTCCTTCTCCTCGACCCTCATCGCCAACTCCGCCTCACCACGCGCGGGGGAGCACAGTGCAGGCCTAAATCGACTCCACAATGTCCCCTCGTATCCTGCGCTCGTCGCTCTCGGCGCCCCTGCCCTCAACCGCGCCCTCCTCGCGCTCCGCCTTCATCCTCCCCTGCAAGAAGCTCGTCGTCCAGTACTCGGAGATCCAAGGCTCGAACCGCGGCATGAGGGACTTTATCGGTCAGGGATTGCCGGTCGACATCGCGCGGAGGTACCCTGGCGTCGAGGTCGTGGTCGAGCGGAGGGAGGCAAAGCATCCGGTTTTGAGGGGCGTCTACAGTGCGTTACGCCCGTCCTGCTCCCTCGTGCGCTCCGCCAAACTGACTATGGATTGCATGCGACGGCAGACAACGGCCGAACAAAGGAAATCTGCGTCCGCAACCTACCCCCGAACTCGATCCTCGCCAAAGCCCAACTCTTGCTCGACTCGTCCGGCCAAAAGATCGTCTCGATCAAGCGACCTGGAGTGGTCAGTACGACGGAGAGTGTCAGGGGCGTTTGGAGCGCGTTCCATGATGAGGTGCGGCAGGCGGCGTGAAGGCGGTCAGGAGGGGGGTAGAGCGAGAGGAACGGTTGGCGTTTCGTGTGTTTGTACGATTACCTGCATCTCCCTTTGCACTCTTCTCGCACATGCTGCTGCCCGGCGAGAGACGCGGGTGTACAACAAGCTCTTCCACCTCTCCTCCTCGAACTCGCTACGAAACCTTCACCCTCCTCCCCCTCAACGCCCACGCAACCCCCACCACCACCGCCGCATACCCCACAAGCACGACCACAGCAATGGAGTCGCGCATGTACATAGTCGGAAGGAGGACGTTGATCAAGCCCGTGAGGAGGTTGGCCTGTGTCCGCTCTTGTCCGTGAGCTGTGTCTGAGCAAGAGGGAAGAAAGGGACGCACGACGAGGAAGACGACGAGACCGTTCTGGTTGATGGCGTGGAAGATGGCTGGACTCTTGCTCGCTAGGTTTGAGGCGGTTGCGGGAGAGGAAGGAGAGGAGGAGGAAGAGGCGACGGCGAGGTGGATCATAAGGTAGGCAAAGATGAAGGAGGTGTTGAAGGCGACTGTCCAGAGGACGTAGGGGAGGTTCGCCTGCGCGCACCATTGCATCAGCTCCCGCTTGTCGAGCGAGACGAAGAGAAAGCAAGAAACTCACCAACCTCCTTGACACTCCCCCTACCCCCTCCTCTCCTTTGACCACCCACGCCATCACCCAATAAACCCCCCACCAACACACCGCCGCGCTCCCAATCCACTCCGCCAACTTTCCCGGCTTACTGATCGTCCTACTCTTCTCCCTCTTTCTCTCCCACTCGCGTTTCTCCGCTGACGAGGCGTCGGAGGGAGAATGCGTGTGGAGGGAGAAGAATGTTGGTGAAGGGGGAAGGGTGTAGAGGCCTGTTGCGAGGCCGAGGAGGTAGATTGAGAGATAGCCTGCTCCAGCCCAACTAGTCAGCTCACGAGCGTAGGCAAGAGAGAAGGGAGAGGACGAACCGGGGAATGAGACGATTCCTTCTTTGTTCTGCGAGATGAGCGTCGTGCGGGAAGCTTCAAGCGCCCAGTGCTGGAGAGGCGTCCAGCTCAGCGCGAGTTGGTGGACTGTGGCCATTCGACCCTTTCTATCAGTGCATGCGCTCGACCTGAGCGAGCCACAACTGAGCGGGGCAAACGGGCACGCACCAACTCCCACAGCCAACCCGACAACATGCATATCCACCTTCCCCGCCAGCCCTTCCAGCGCAGTCCCGAAGACCGGCAACAACGCAAGCGTGAAGAAGAAATTCCAGTGTACGCCGTACTCCGTTACGTGTTCCTGTTGTGCCTTTGTCAGTTCTCGGGCAGCGAGAAGAGATGAGGGAAGGACGAACGGGGTAGTCGACGCCTTTGACCATCACTACCCTGACTATGCCCAGCGCGACGAGGGGCAGACACTTCCGGATCGAGCGGAAGACGGAGGAGAAGTACGAGCGGCGTGTGCGAGCGGATGGCGACGAAGAGTGTGAGCGGAGGAGAGGGAGGGCGGAGACGAGGCCGAGGGAGAAGACGAATGATCCGACGCCGAGGTCCATCTATGCACTCGAGGTGAGTTTGCAGGCCTGAGGAGAGAAGCGAGGAGGAGCAGGACGCACGAGCGAAGTTCCCCAAGTCTCTGCTTTCGCAAACTCGCGCGGGAAGACGGGAAAGTCGACCGCCAAGATACACAAAACCGTCATGACCATCATGATAGCCCTGTAACTGGTGACGAACGGTCTCGAGAAGGGCTTCAAGTCGATCTGGGAGGGCATCCGAGAGTGTCGGCGGGACTTTTCGAGTTTGGGAGAGAGCGGTGGAGAGCCGAGAGGGGTTGGCTGGAGGTGCCAGGCGAGGGTGAGGAGAATGAGGATGGCATTGAGGAGGAGTGGGCGGGCGGAGAAGAGGGTGAGGGCGAGCAGGAGGGGGAGGACGAGGATGAGGACCTCGAGGATAGGCGTTTTGAGCGAGTTCGACGGCAGCTTGGACAGCATTCGCCTCTGTGCGACGGTCCACAGGGCATAGGTGGTCTGCGGACGAAGGCAAGTACCCATCAGCTCCAGTGTCGAGGAAGTAAAGGCGATGGAAGCGGGAACGGACGAGGGCGGTCGCGCAGACGAGGTTGATGTGTGTTACGGACCCGCCTGTCGCGTGCGACACAAAGGCGACCTTGTCCTCCTTGTATCCCATGCGTCGCTAGCCCCGCCCTGCGCTGTCGAAGCCAACTCGAGGTCGTCGTCGATGGCAGAGAGGCATCGGCTGGTCCTTGGTCCTCACCCGCTCACACAAGGATGGCTGCTCCTCGGGTGGCGACTCGCCTGCTCTCTGCTGCCTCGCGGGCATCATCCCGCCCCGCCTGCGCTGTCGCTCGCGCCCGCGCCGCCGCCGCCCGCCCCATCGAGACGTCGGCCATTCGCTCGCAGAGTGCGTCGTCGCACGGCTCTCTGCCTGGATGGGAAGGACGCGGGGACTGACAGACTCACACACACAGTCCCGACGGGTAAGGAGTCGCCCTACGCGGAGCCTGCGGGTCGCAACCCGGTCGAGCACTTCCAGCCGTACTCTGCCCAGCTGCAAGAGTACGGCGCGTGGATCATGGCGTCGCTGCCAAAGTTCATGCAGCAGACGAGCGTCTACAAGGACGAGTTGACCCTCTACGTCGCGCCCTCGGCCATCGTCCCCGTCATGTACTTCCTCCGCGACCACACCAACACCCAGTTCAAGCAGGTCATGGACATCTGCGGTGCAGACTATCCGACGAGGGGAAAGCGCTTCGAGGTCGTCTACCACCTCCTCTCCGTCCGCCACCAGTCCCGCATCCGCGTCAAGACCTACGCCGACGAGACCTCGCCCGTCCCCTCGATCGTCAAGATCTTCCGCGGCGCAGACTGGTCAGTTCGCCCGCTATCCTCCAGCACGATCTCAAGGAGCTGACGCTTTTGCTCACAGGTATGAGCGCGAGGCGTGGGACATGTACGGCATCTACTTCACCGGCCACCCTGACCTCCGCCGCATCCTCACCGACTACGGCTTCGAGGGCCACCCGCTCCGCAAGGACTTCCCCTTGACCGTGCGTGCCCAACGGTTCTGGCACGCGGACGCTGGCTGATGGCTGGCAAACTTGCAGGGCTACACCGAGGTTCGCTACGACGAGGAGAAGAAGCGTGTCGTCTCGGAGCCTTTGCAGCTCTCGCAGGCGTTCCGCAACTTTGAGGGCGCGACATCGGTGCGCTTGCGGTCTCAACTTGGTCAGTCCCGCTCAAACTGATGTTTGCGTCGCACAGCCCTGGGAGGGAACCGGCACCGGCATCGACGCCCGCGCACCGCAGTTTGTTCTCCAGCCACCGAAGGACGAGGGCAAGGCAAACGAGGAGAAGAAGTCGGAGGCGACCAAGAAGTGCCTCCCGCGCCGCCTTTCCCACCGCCTCTCGCTGACCTCTCCCTTTGCGCAGGTAAAACGCCCCCTTATACCGCATCCCGCCCGCCTTCGCGCACCACCCTGTAGACTTGTACGACGGATCTTTCAACCCAGCAGCAGCGCCATTTCCCTGCAACTGCCCTTTTGCCCCTTCGCCTTGATCCGCACCGCACCGACACAGGAGGCGAGGATTAGTGCGGTTCTGTCCGCGGGGTGTGCGATCTCGGCGCGACTCTTTCGCCGGTTCTGACACTCGCAGCATCTTTTCTCGATGCGGAGGCTCCAGAGGTCGCCGGTCACTCGCTTTGTCACGGTGCGAAGAGGGGGGAGGGAGGAGGAGCGGGAACTGGCTGGCTTTCGCTGGCTCGCGCTCCCTTTTGGCGTGGGCTTCGCTCTGCTCTCGTCCTCGTGAAGCACAAGCAAGCATCTCTCGAAAGAACCGCCGCAGTTGCCGGCGGCGTTGTCGGCGGAGAGGAACTTCGTCCCTTCGCTTCCTCCTCACACCTTGCTCTCGCCGCTACGTGCTTCGATAGCTCGCAAAGGCTGCGTTAGACTCGCCTACACGTGACAACAGAAGCGTTCAAGAGCCTCTCCAACCGGTCGGACGACCCCCGCTTCACCCGCTCCTCGTCCTCGTCCCCTCATCGCCAGTCCTGTCGATCCCTCACCGGTAGACTCCGCCGCACGCCGAAACAGACACACATCTGTCTCTCACCTTTCAGAGCCAACTCCCGCACCGAACGAACGCGTACTCGGCAACCTCTCACACAAACTAGGGACTCAAGATGAACACGGTCAAGCTGGTCATGCTGGGCGAGGGAGGCGTGGGGAAGACGGCTATCAGTCTGAGGGTTGCGATGAACTACTTTGGTGTGTCTGGCGTTCCGTTCGAGAGGTGTCGGCCGTCGAGGGAGGACTTGGAGGACTGGAGGCTAACGAACGGCTCTCTCGTCGCTCCTTGCGCGTGCAGTCGAGGTACGTTCCTCCTAGCGGACTCACGAGTAACCTTTGAGCCTACGCTGACCGTGCAACGTCGACCTGCAGACGTACGACCCCACCATCGGTGCGTGCACCCCGCCGTCCTCCTCAATCAAACAGGCCTTGGCTGACTCTCGCTCCCTCCGTCAACTCGTCCATACAGAGGACTCGTACCGGACGACGGCGAATATCGATGGACAGACGTACTTGCTGGAGATCCTCGATACGGCTGGGCAAGGTGAGTTGTCGAGGAGGATGTTCGGCTTCGCTCTGTCCTGTCGGAAGACAGCGAGCTGATTCTTGATCGAGTACATCCACAGAGGAGTACACTGCGCTGCGGGATCAATGGATACGGTGCGTCCGCTTGAGAGACTGTTTACTGTTCTCAAGCCTGAGAACTGACGCTTTTCTTCGTCCGCGTACACAGGGAGGGCGAAGGTTTCCTCGTCGTGTATTCCACCACCTCCCGCGCCTCCTTCGACAGCGTCGAAAAGTTCTGCCGCCAAATCGCACGGGTGAAAGACTCGAACCGGGTCCCGATCGTGCTCGTCGGGAACAAGATTGACCGGGTGCACGAACGCGAGGTCGAGACGCGGCATGGGGAGGAGTTGGCGAGGAGGTTGGGGTGCGGGTTCGTCGAGACGAGTGCGAAGACGAGGGAGAACTTGGAGGAGGTTTACTGCACGGCTGTGCGGATGAGTGCGTCCCCTTCCCTCTCGCGAGTGGAGGCTTCTGTGCTGACTGCTCTTCCCACAGTCGAGCAACAAAGAGGTGGCTCGACGGCAAACCCGGTCAAGAAGAAGAAGAAGCCGCGGAAATGCTCGATCCTCTGAACCCCGCTCCGCCCCTTCGCTTTCCCCTCGCCAGCAGCTTTGTTGTCCATACAGTACCGCATACGCTGTCGATACTTCTCATTCCTTTCATGTACTGTCAGTGCCCCTCTCCCACGCTGCTTCGCCTTTCCTTCAACTCGAGCAGCCCCGGACCCTAGACTCCGCTTTCCTCTCTCTATCCCTCTCTCAGCAGTTATATACCCGCCTCCGGCTCTCCTCCATCTCGGCATCCACGCAAAGCAGTCTCTCATCACGACCAACGCCTGGAACGAGCGGGGAGGACGCGCAAGTCTATTCCGAGTCTACTCGCCTCCGTCAGGCGTCTCGATATCCCTCCACAACTTGCCCGCGGCCCACTCCATCGCCGCCCGTCCGCCCGACGCGTTCTGCTCAAACCTCGATTTCGAGAAATCCTCGACCTTCTTGCCCGCCGCTCGCTGAGGGTAAGTCGCGCCAGGCGGGAACGTCTCGGGCTTGACGGTACAATCTGGCGCGACGCCGTAGGGTGGGTAATGGTCTGCTGCGATGACGCCTGTTGAGAAGATGAGTGCGGATTGGGAGAAGAGGGTCGTAGGCGGCATTGTCGGGTGCGAGAGGGGGTGATCCGTGTCCTTCGCTGAGGGATAGGGCTCGTTCCCGTCGTCATCGTCTTCATCGGGCAACTCTCCGCCGTCCTCTGCGTTCATCCGCTCGTCCCGCACGCTCAGCTGCGGAGCGAATTGTCGCCGAGTAGGAGCGGGGAGGAACGGCCACGGATGGGGGATGTACGAGATCGTTTCGCGGCATTGGAGGAGGGTCGAGAGTGAGAGGTTGGTTGATGCCATGAGGAGTTTTGGAGGTTCGAGAAGCGTGAGGGAAGGGGAGAGATCGGGTGTCGAGGGACTGGCGACGGAGGCGGGGACTATGAAGGAGACTTCGCGGGCGTAGGTGATGTCTGGCGCGCCGAGAATCTGCGTACGAATCATCTCGTCAGCTTGCGAGAACCTCAACCCTGGAAAGCGAGCGCAACGCACCCTCCTGATCCACCGCGGGCTATCCTGTCGAATCCCGATAATCCGCTCACTCCGCACCGTCCCGTCCGGCAAGACGCTCCGATCTACAACGTCCATCGTGATGACGTGCGGCGCGAGCGGGTTCGGGTACTTGTTGATCACGGCGTAGACTTGGGCCGGCCAAGGGAAGCTGAAGTGGAAGGCGGTGGTGAACAGGGCGACCATTCCGAGGCGGTTCGTTGGGAGCGAGCAGGAATGTCGAAGTGCAGTTCAGACGGATTGGAATGCTTCGCCTGGCGTCTGTGTGTCGTTGAGGGTCGAGGAGAGCGGGTGACGGCACTCGGAGAAGGCAGCGGTGGCAGAGGCGTGGAGCGGCGCAGGCGAGTCTAGTCTGGCTGTGGTCGCCTTTTTGGGTGTCTAGCAGGGACTCGGGCTGTAGCAAAGGCAGTCCAGAGGCGAGAGAGGAGGTTTGTCTTCGTCGAACCGGCAACTTGACGAACGTTCCCTCTCCACCACGCACAGCTGCGCGCAGAGACTGCTACTGCAGGCTGTATCGCTACGATACGCTCCTACTGAAGTTATGCAGCCAGCTAACACCCGCCCGCACGGTCTGCTTCCGTCGCCTGCGCCTCCTCCCGACTTTCATCGCGAATCGCCATTACACGATGTCAGCACCTCCAGCTGCAGGACTGGCTGTGTTCCGCGCACTTGTAGATGCTGGGTATACGCGACGGGCGCTTTGAGCGGGGACAGAGTCCTGAACATCGAGGGCACGCGTTGTATCGTGAGGATGGGCTGTTTCGAGCGGTGCTCTCCTACAGGTAGGGGCGAAGACACATAGAGAGCGGTACAGCGAAGTTACTGCAACGCTAAGCGACTGATACGCCCCCCTACGGACTGTCGGGGACAGAGACAGATCAGGACGAATCTGCTCTTGCTAAGCAGGCGGATCCTACTACTACCAACAGCTGCGCTTTCTCGCCTCCGCCTCATGCATACGAGACGGACCTGTCATCGCTGGAGTGGTCCACTGTCGCTGGAGGCTACTGCCCATCCCGTCCGTCGTCAGGCGTGTCCTCTGTCCCGAGAACCGCAAGTAGCCGCCATTGACCCGTGTACGTCGCTGCGAAGGTCGCGAACTGTCAGAAAGCGAACAAAGCCGAAAGTCCCGCGCAAGACGCACGCTTCCAAACCCTGACCTTCCCATCCTCCCCACCGCTCGTGCTCAACACCGTCCCCAACACATTCCACGCGACTCTGCACGAGCTCATCGCCCCTCCGAGCCCAACAGCAAGCGCAGGACTCGACCCGCCCGCCAACCCGCTCCCCTGCTTCTTCACCGCTTCTCCTCCCGCTCCTCCGCCCAAGGTCGCGCTCGAATCTAGCTCGACTTCCAACCGTGCGCTCCATTCGCCGTCGGGAGAATCGGCGTCCCCTCCTCCGGCATTGGCGAGCTCAAGAGGCGGAGGCGCAATGCGCCAGACTCGTGCGCGGCCGTCTCGTGAACCAGAAGCGAGGAGAAGAAAGCTTCGACCGCTTGGAGGGGCAAAGGCGAGGGAGCTGACTGGCGGTGTGTGCGTCGCTGCTGTTGGTGTTGCGGAGGCGGACGAGCCGGATGGGAGGAGGTAGTCGGACGCGGAGGCGGAGGATGAGGACGTGTGGGAGAAGGCGGACGAGTTTGGGTTCGCGTGGAGCGACTCGTCGGTTGGGGTGGAAGTGCCGTGAGGGAAGGGAGAGGATGAGGTGATGGGCTGTGAGAGAGCGAGGCGAGAGGGAAGGAGGTTAAGGAAGTTGGACCAAGGTCGACCGGAGGGGAAGTGGAAGAGCTGAAATGCCCAGCGTCAGCTTTGGCTACGTTCGCGAAGCTCAAGACGTCGCGGAGGACACGCGAGTCACAACGAAATGCCAGGTCAGGGCGCAAGCAAGCCAAACTTACCCGGATCACGCCGTTCGTCCCGCTCGTAACCGCTAACCGCTCGCCCCACCAATGCTCCGTGAACCAGCTCACGCTCCATCCGCCGTCGCTCTCGACCGTTCCTCCTGCTCGCGCATTCCCTGCCCCGCTGACCGCGCTGAACCCGCCTCGGCCGTCGACAGAAACGGAAGACGAGGAGGCGGCAGAGGAAATGGTGGGAAAGCCGGACGACGAGGGATTCCCGCCGGAGCCGACGGAAGATGAGGTCGAAGGGAAGGGTACGGCGCCATCTGACTGGCCTGCCGAAGCCACCGCATTTCCGCCTTGTCCTGCGCCCGCCGAACTGCCCACACTCGGTCCGAGTCCGAGGACGGCGAGGTCCACGTCTTCTCGCAGCGTCCAATCTCGTAATGCGAGCGTCGGGTCGAGGCATTCCCAGATGCGGAGATGCGAGTCGGACGAGACGGCAGCGACTTTGAGGCCAAAGTGGGCGGCAGCGAACGAGACTGAGCGGATCGTCCCTCGACAGTCGGTCAGCTGGGCTGTCAGGGACCATCCTGATTGTGCACCGGCGGGAGGAGCGGAAGGGGCGCGTGGGTGGCCTGGTGTGCCGTGTGGTCGAGGCGACGGGAGGAAAGGGTGGTGTCCGTTCGCCGCCGTCCCTGCTCCTGCTCGAGGCGGCGGCTCGTCTTCCCGCCACACCTTGACGACGCCGTCAACCCCGCCGCTCGCCAGCACCGTGCCAAACTCGGGATCTGCCCAAGCGAGACAGAGAGCGGGTCCATCGTGCGCCTTCCACGCCCGCGTCGCATGGTCCCAGGTCGGATTAACTCCTCCCGAGGGATGCTGTACGCGCACGTGGTGGTCGAGCGAAGCTGTCGCGAGGTGCGAGGCGAGCGGGGAGAAGGCGATGTCGGTGAGGAGGTCGAAGTGAGGCGACGGCAGCGTCGACGAGCGGATCTCGGCCTGTACGGTGATGGAGTGTCAGTTTACAGTGCTACGACGCTGTCTTCGACTGCACCTGCCATGGTCGACTCGCTGCGAGAGAGCCAACCCTTGCTTCTCCTCCTCACCTTCACTTGAACTCGCTGACACCTCGCTGGGCTGCTCGCTGTGACTTGTATCAGATTTACTGTAGCCTTAGAACAGAGTCAACCGGCGCGCTCACCCTCGGCGGCTGTCCTCGCCTCTCTCTCACCCCCTCGGCACTTCATCACCCCCACACACCTCGCTCTCGCTCTCTACGCCCTCGACCGTCCACTCGAGCCACCATGCCGAGCAATCCACTGCCCATGAACCTCCCAGCCGAGTGCCGAAAGGCGCAGAAGATCTTCCAGTCCTTCGTCGACCGTACGTTGTCCCCTTCCTCCTCCCGAACCTCGGCATTCGCTGATGCTCGGAGTGCCCCCTGCAGCCGTCAATGGACTCGACCATATCATTCCGCCGTCTGTCCTGCGCCGCGCAAAGGGCTTCTGCTTCATGTCGGTCGCCAAAGCCGGCTTCGTCTTTTCCGCCCGAGCAGGGTCGGGGATCGTCATCGCGCGACTTGAGGATGGGACGTGGTCTGCGCCGTCTGCTGTCGGGACTGCGGGAGGAGGCGTAGGCTTCCAGGTCGGCGTCGAGGTTGCCGAGTTTCTGATCATCCTCAACTCGCGGGCCGCCGTCAAGAGCTTCATGTCGGCCGGCAGTATCACGGTGTGCGTACACTCTTGCCTGCAGCTGAGCCTTGTTCCTTCGAAGCGAGTCGCACAGCTGAACGGGCCTTGAGTTGCTCACAGTGGCGGCAACATGTCCATAGCAGCTGGTCCCCTCGGTCGAAACGTCGAAGGTACCGGCGCCCTCTCCGCCAAGGGTAAAGTCGCGGCGATGTACTCGTACTCGCGCTCGAAAGGTCTCTTCGGCGGCGCGAGTGTGGAAGGCAGCATCATCGTCGAGCGAAGTGACGCGAATGCGAAGGCGTACGGTTCCAAGTGAGTCTCCGCTTACCGTCAGCTTCTCGTTCGTTAGTGCTAACGCTATACGTTGCGCAGCGTCACGGTTACGCAACTCCTGTCCGGCCAGGTCGAGCCGCCTCACTGGGCTACCGGGCTGATCAGTACCGTCACCCGCCTCGCATCGGGTCTTCGCTCCCTCCCCGGCGGCGGCTGGGGCCTCGACTCGCCCCTCGACTCGCCCTACACCCCTTCCTCCGACATCGAGAACGACGAAGAAGGGTACTTCTCCCGAGCACGTATTGAGCGCGAAAAGGCTCGGAGGGAGAAGGAGGAACGGGATGATGTTGGATTGACACCGCGCGAGTATGCGGAGAACGGCTACGCGTTCGGGAGCTCGTATGCTGCTGGAGGAAGTGCGAGCGGGAACGGGAGCGGGATTGGGACGCCGGAAAAGGAGAAGAGTCAGATTCGGGCGGTGCTGGGATCGGTTGGGCGAAGCAGGTCCGGGTCTGGCGCTTCCTCGACAAAGAAGTCCTCTTCGCTCGCCAACAACTCGTACACGCCGCCTGCGACAGACGACCCCTTCGCCGAAGGACCGGTCCCCACAGGCGAAGCGAGGTTCGAGACGCACTTTTCCAGCGAATTCGACTTTGCGGCTGCGCAACGCGAAGGACTCGCCCTTCGACCGCCCGACTCGCTCGGCATGGGCCGCGGATCGTCCACGTCGGGCGTCAAGAGCCCGCTGCCGGGGACGAAGGAGGCAGACTTGACGGACTTTGGCGGCGACGACTACGGGAAGGACGACTTGCGGTCTTCCTCGCCCGCTCGTCAGGGCAACAGAAGCCGCTCGGGGTCCGGCACGTCGTGGTTCAGCGGCGGCAACAAGACGAGCAAGCCTAAGCTTACGAAGAGCCGGAGCTCGACTGTCTCGAACGGGCTGCGAGAACGGGCTGAAGCGATGCAGTGGGGCAACGAGCAGCCTGCTGAGCGACGGTTCGGGCGGAGGGAGAGCGGAGATTCGCTTGATGACGAGTACGAGCGGTACAAGGAGCGCGAGAAGGAGAAGGCTAGCGGAGGGAGGTTCAGGGCTTCGACTGTCGCCGCACCGAGCGCGAGTGGGCCCGTGACCGCTTTCGACCGCGCCGCCCTGTCCAACCAAACCCGCAATCGCTCCGCCTCTTCTCCCCTCGCCGCTCCATCCCGAACCTCCCCCTTCGATTCGACCTCCTCTCTCTCCTCCGCCGCTTCAAAAGACGACCCCGTCCCGCGCTCCTCACGCAACGCGTACTCCGCCAAACCTTGGGACAGCGAAGACGAGTCCTTCGTCGCTCCGTCTCCCTCACCCGCTCGCTCGCCCAACCGCTCGCGGTCCGGTACGACCGCCTCGTCCGCTGCTGCACGCGCAGCAACCGCGAACCTCGACCTGCGTCAAGTCGAAGCGGACTTTGCGGGCGTGATGGACTTGTCGAAGCATGGTGGAGCGGGAGAAGTGGGGAGTTATTCGAACGGGACAAGGAGTAGGAGTTCGACGATTGGAGGGGCGGGAACGCCGGTGGGACGGAGCAGGAGCGGGACGGGGACTAGTACGCCTGGTGCTGGCGGAATAGGGAGGGTCGTCGCGCTGTACGACTTTCCGGGTGTCGAGGTACGCCTGCTCTCTCTCTCTCTCCTCTCCTCTCCTTTCTTCCGATGCTGACGAGTCTCGAGTGAGCAGACGACCGACCTCCCGTTCAAGAAGGGAGACGTCATCACGATCCTCGCGAAGGACGACGAGGAGTGGTGGAAGGGGAGGCTCAAGCTGCGCGAAGGGATGCTGCCGCGCAACTATGTCGAGGAGCTGTAGCGCGAATCGCCTCGACAATTGAAGAGTTTCTGTATCGCCATCGCTTGCCTGGACGAGCTGCGCATTGAGCGAGCACGGCCTCTCTGGTCTCTTCTTGGTCCTCTTTCCCCAACGTCGCGCCGGCCGACCGCACTTCAAACACTCCTTCCTTGCACCACCGCATCCACCAGCCCACATCCTACCACGAAGAACAAAAACACGCGCGCTTGAATAAGACGCAGACGAAGCAGAAAGAAAAAGCGAGGCGTAAACTAGCGGTTACGACGCGCTTCGGGTCCGCCTGCTGCCGCTGCTGCTGCTCCTCCGGCTGCGGCACCGGCGCCGGGTTGCTGAACTGAGATGACGGATTCGGAGTAGCGGATGATCTGCGCGCGAGAGGGTTGTCAGCGATGATCTCGAAAACAGCAGCCCGCTCGGGTCAACAACTGCATCCCGCGCAGGCTCGCCTCGAGAAGCGGCTGACTACATCCTCAAAGAGCAGCAGACTCACGAGCTCCCTGGCAAAGTTGACGCCCTTCCTAACCTGCGGCGGACACTTGGGATTCGCCGTCGCATGATCGATCTGCGCCGAAACCCACGAGAAAGCCTGGCGCGTGGGCGGGGAGAGGTAGTATCGTAGGCGGAGGAAGTGGGCGAAGAACAAGGGGGAGAGGAGGCTGTTCACGGCGAGGTTAGTTAGAGAGGGGAGGGGAGGAACGGGGAGGACGAACGAGTTTTGGAAGGTGATTGCGCCGAGAAGGATGCGGCCGAAGACGACGACTACTTCGACGAAGGCGACGAAAAGCATCGCCTTTTCATAGTTCGCCTTGACCCACGTCTGTGCAGGCGCACGCGGAAGTTCAGCCTTCGAGTTCGTCTCGGCAACGCTCACTACGGCAAGCTCCGCATTCGCAACGCACCTGGATCAGCTTCGAAGCCTTTGCGCCCGGGGTCGCAGGCTGCGCGGCAGCAGTCGAGCCAGACTTGGCAGCGGCCGCTGGCGGCTTGGGGAGGACGGAAGTGCGAAGGAAGGTGACTGCAACCACTCGAACTGTCAGAGAACTGCGGTGCAGAAGGAGTTGGGAGGCACGCACGGGTGTGGAAGAGGGAGAAGGTCGCGAAGGGGATGAGGGTGACGTAGATGGGTTTCTGCGGGCAGGGGTTGGCAGTGTCAGCTTCGAATCCCTGCTCGACTAGCCACGCCGCCGCAACTCTGTACAGCGGTTTGGCAGGCGCAAAAGGCGAGCGAGTCGAAGCCGGGACGCACCTGGAGGAACCAGTACAGGGCGAGGAGGAGGTACTGGACGTTCTCGTCCAGCAGTGCCCGCTGGATGTACGCCTTGTTCAGCTGCGGTGCGCCCAGGCTCTTGTACTGTTCGTCGCGAGCATGGCGAGGGAAAGGAGTGGGCCAGGTGAAGCGATCGACGTCAGCTCAGACGGCGACGGCGAGCAGCGAGAGGAAAGGGCGCACGACGACGATGCCCCACGAGACGAGTGCTCCGCCGTACGCGAGGTAGTACGACTTTGAGCGGCCAGAGAAGGTGACGACGCCGAGGAGGGTGTGGACGGTGCCGGCGAGGACGAGGGCGTGGCCGACTGCGCGCGGGACAAGGCGAGTGAGCTCGTGTGCGTTGTGCGAGGTCTGCGGCACTCACAGGCCCACGCATAGTGCGGGTACGAGACTTTCGCCATTTCTGATGAAGGCGAAAGGATGACGGAGAGGGCGGCGCGTTGTATTCGCCAAGCATTACAAGCGAGTTTGTATTCAGCTCATTACAAACTCTCCTCCCTCTCCCCTCGCTAACTTTCTTGCTTCGCTGTGACTGGGCTGAACACTGCATCGACTGCTCAGCAAGCTGCGAGGTGCCTACGCTCGACCACGCTAACACCGGAACTTGCTGGGACGCCTCCTCACTTCGCATGCTCTTTCGCTCTCGCTGCGCAGCGTCTCCAGCGTGCCGCTACTCGCTTGCCCAGTCGAGCGAGCTGCAATGCAGGCTTGAACGGGAAGAGGCTTAAGGGTCCAAGGTCCCCTCATGGTTCGGCCTTCGCACGGACGTTACGGCGAGGAGGCGATTCCTCGCGTTCGTCTGCGCTTCGCAGGGCGGCGAGACCGATGCGGGACGGTCGCCGTGTCAAGCTGATTGCTTCCGATTTCGCGTCTTCGTCTGCAGGGCTGCGCAGCTGCGTACGAGGTGATCTCCCTCGTCCCGCCTATCGCACTCCTCTTCTTCTTTTATCTCGCTCTTCTCGCACTACTTCGGAGACATCGCTTCGTATGCTGCTCTGCGCTACCCTCGCAACACTCCTCGCCTGCTCCGGCGTCGTCTCCGCCGCTCCGGCACCAGGTGCGTGTTCCCTCCTCTCCTCCTCAACCCGGACTGACGAACATTGCCTCCCACAGACACCGGAGGAACCGCCTCGAATCTCGATGCCTCCAGCAAGGCGTCTGTCCCGACCGTGGCGTACCAGGAGATGTGCTACTTGACGTTGTTCGACGCCGAGGGTGAGTGCTCCTCCCTCCGGCTCTCTCCGTCCTCACGCTGACTCTTCTCGTGCAGACATCACGTCGCTCAAGTACGGCAAGGACACTCTCGCGCAGGACGGTGGGTCCGCTCGCACTCGCACCGTCGTCACCGCGCTGACTCGCCTCTCCCGCAGAAAACGGCCAGGACGTCTACATCAACGACGGCTACAAGAAGGACTCGAGCGGCAAGGAGTACTACTACGAAGAGGCGTGCTACCAGTCCAGCAAAGTCGACGGGAAGACTGAATCGAGTGCGTCCTCCTCAGTCTCCTCAGACACCTTCTCATGCTTCGTTACTCGCAGACACGGTCGCCAGCTCGTCGACCACCGACAGCAGCCCGTTCAGCTCGCTCATCGGTACCCTTGGACTCGACGACGGCGTCTCCGGCTTCCTCTCGGGGCTTACGAGCGGCGACAGCCTTGGCTTGAGAGGACTCGTCCGTTTCGTCAAGAGGCAGTTTGACAGCCAGACCATCGGTGCGTTCACTTCCGCTTCATCTCTCACGTTAAGCTAACGACGCTTCCGCAGGCGCCATCCTCGGCCAACCCGCTGCCGCCGAGCCCGCCGCTTCCTCTTCCTCCTCCGCTGCGCCGCCCATCGACAACGAAGACTCCGCAACCCCTTCCTCGCCCGACTACTTCGACGCCCCTTCTCCCACCCCGACTCCTACGCTTACCACCACCGCCACTCCCTCGCCTACCGCCATCGACCCGCTCGAGATCGCAAACGGATTCGGCGGGATTCAGTCTGTCGGGAACGCGTTGCCTGGACGGATCGGGGCGAAGGATATCCTTGGGCCTGCGTTCTCGAGTGCGAGTGAGTTGCGGCGTCTGATTCACAAACGGGATGGGCGCTGACTTTACTTGCAGATGCGGCACCGACCACTGGTTTCGCTGCGACATCGACGGACACGGGCGTTCAGGCGACGCAAGCAGCCCCGCAGCAGAGTGCGTTGACTCCCTTCCATGCAGGCGATCCTTTCGCTCACAGTCTCGCTCGCAGCCGAGACGCCTGACGCGCAACCTTCGACGTCCGCCTTCACGCCTGCTCCCGGTCCTCCTGGCTACCCTTCCGCCTTCACGCCAGCGGCAGGTCCTCCTGGGTCTCCGTCGTCTTTCACGCCTGCCGATGGTCCGCCTTCAATCGCTCCTACTGTCGCCGCCAACCCGGACGATGCCGCTCAACCGACGCAGTTCCAGCCCGTCTCGTCGCCGCCTGTCGTCCAGGCGCCCGCTTCTACCTTTAGGCCCGCGGCTTCACCTCCGACGACCGACGTCGCAGCGCCGGCTACGACGCAGCAAGTCCAGCCCGCGCCTTCCTCGCCCGACGTCCAAACTGCCGCTCCTCCCGTCAACTCGGCTCCCAGCTTTCTCACTCCCGCCTCGAGCGTCGTCACTCCGACCGTTCTCTCGACGTCGTCACCCGTCGCAGCCGACACCCCGACGCCCGCCGCGACGTCCGCCCCGTCTTCCACCACCGTGGACACTCCCGCATCGACCTCGACTGTCCCGCTGAGGATCTACGTCGCCGCCGCCTCTCCCACGTCGTCCAGCGTCGATGCGACGTCGTCTACGACCGATTCGCTCACCGTCGTCAGCCTCGCGCCGACTGCTGTGCCCGCCCAGTCTGCCTGACCGTCCTCCCACGCCTCCTCTCGTCTCCCATGAACTCCGCTCTGTGCTATATAGACTCTCGCTCGATGCATGCAATGCACAGGACACTCGCACGGACGCTCGGCGACGAAGAAGAGAGAGTGTCGAGTTGTAATCGGGCGAGTGTAATCAGCAATACAAAGCGTTGTAAGCGACTCGAGGGGAGGCGCGAGTGCCCTTGGCGAGCTCGCCTCTCGCGCCTCTTCCCTCTCCCTCATCGAGCTTTGGATGGAGACGAGCGAAGGGTCGCTACTCATCGCAGCACCGCACACAGCGAGTCGCTCACGCTGCACTCGCCCGCTCCCGTTGGCTGTGGGAAAAGGTGCGCTCCCCGTTTCTCCTCCTCGCCCTCGACGACCGCTAACGTTTTCTCTCGCTCGCTTGATGCAGTCCCCGGACACACTGAGCCCTCCATGACCCGCTAGCAGCCCAGCCGCACCCCTCGACTCGCGCGCGCAGCCCTCGTGGCTCGCCCAGTCGGCTTCCTCCTCCTCGCCAAATGTCCCTCACACGACCGCACTGCTTCCCCTGCGCCAACCCGCCGGAAAGCGGCCGTCCTTGATTCGGCGGGAAAACGGGTTGGCGCTACTGGGCTTGCGGTTCGAGGGATGGGGGGGATGGGAGAGTGTCCGGTCTTCAAGGGTGAGGGTGGGACACCTGAGCGCTGCCTGCGAGTCTCAACGACTCGTGTACGGCTCGCTCGAGGTCCCGGAGGTGCACTGTCGACTGCGTGCTCGGGGCGCCATCGCTTGCTTGTCCTGACCTCGCTAGGCTGCGTCTTTTCCCTTCTCCTCGTCACGTCGGGCGGGAAATGCCTCTCGGGGTGGATTACCGCTCGGTAGGCGAGGATGGGAACGGCCTCACTTCTCGCTCACCTCGTCGATTGCGTCGTGCTCGCCCATGCAGCGAAGATACGAGCTGTCAGAGCGCGGCGTAGTCGGCGGGAGGCGGGAGATTGAGGCCGAGTGGCCTGGCACATACGAGGCGGACCTCACGGCAGCGAGTCAGTGCGCCCCTCGAGCCGGTCGATGACCCGTTCGTCATTCATGCACAGTTATGCGACCGCTCGGCCTCGTTCTCGAGGTCGGGTAACGGAATGGGGCTTACTCTCGCTCTTCTCCATCTGGTTCGTCCCGCTCGCTTTCTTTCTACTCGGCCTCGCCACGCTTGGACACGACTGGAGGAGCGCGGCTGGCCCTAGCACACAGCGGCCAAGTCGTTGCCTTTCTCCCATCGTCGGACTCGCAGGAGGAGGAGAAGGGAGGGAGACCGCGCGCGCATGCCAAGGACGATAACCACAGACGCAACAACTTGAATTTCTTCATCCTACCGCTCCCGCTACGGCGTGGGGCGGTGTGAGGAGTACTTTTTAACCCTGAGGCAACACTCGCGCGCGGTTCTTTCCCTCGCCCTCTTTTTTGTAGCCGGTGTCCTTGCAACAAAAGACTCTCCATCTCTGGCTTGTCGCTGCACTCGAGAGTACGCTTGATGCCTATTGCAGAATGCGAGCAATCACCGTCGCCAGCTCTTCACTTCGCACAACCTCGTAGTGCCCTCTCTTGAGCGACACAAAGTCCGCCACGACGCCCTCCGGCAAGTCCTTCTCCTCCTCCTCGACCGGCTGACCTGCCTCCTCCCGCCCTCTCGCCGCATCCGAGCCCGCCAGCAGCCGTCGCATCCTTCGCAAGAACACCCTTGGCTGACGGAAGCTCAGCAGCTCGTCTTCCGCCGAGTGCAGCACCACCACATGTGTCTTCAGCGCTTCCCCGTCGTACAAGTCCCACCGAGCCGGAGACTCGGCTGCCAGGACCGCTGGATTGCGCCCGAACGCGTCGTGGACGAACGAGTCGTAGGAGGGGTATTCGTCAAGGAGGGTTGGGAGGTCATAGATGCCGTCGATGCAGATGATGTGCGAGATCGAGTGGCGCAGCGAGGCGGGAACGTCGAATGAAGGCGTGCAAGAAGGAGGAGGCCGGAGGATCAGGGTCGCAGCCATAAAGGCGCCAGCCGAGTGACCCGCCACGACAAGCTTCCTCCGGTCCCACTTCGCCTCGCCTTCTTCGAGCGGCAAGAGCGGCCCAGCGAGGAGCGACAGGCCGGAGATCACGTCGACGATTTGAGCAGGATGAGGGTCGGCGGGTGCGAGGCGGTACTCGAGGCAAGCGACGGGCAAGCGGGTGTGCTGGACGAGCAGTGGTACGAGGGTGTTGGTAAAGTCGCTTTTGCTTTCTGCGAGGGCAGGAAAGGATCAGCGAACGGGACTCGACGAGAACAGCGGGAGAGGGTGTGCGGGCTCACCAGATCGCCAAGCGCCGCCTGAGCTTGACGAGATCAGCACGAGAAATCAGATGCAGCCATCGAACGCAAGCCTGAGCGCACCGTGGACGTAGACGAGCAGCGGGGACGAGGGTCCAGCTTCGCGAGGGAGGAACAGGTCGAGCGCCTGTCGCGGCGAGGTTGCGCCAGGGTAAGCGATGTCGAGATGTGTCGTGTACGATGCCATTCGAGCGTATCTAGCCTCGTCCATCGGGAGCGGCGACGAGTGGCTCGAGGAGACGAACCTCGCTCCTTCTTCGACGACGACCAACGCTCCACTTTGCCCGGCTGAGGCTGTTCTGCGGCAGAAACAGCTGTACTGTGGCCACGTACGCCTGTCTCGCCAGGTTTCGAGCGCCGCAACCCCTGGCAGGGCCAGCCTCCTCGTCGCGACCCTTTCCTCATGCGGCCACTCCTGCACGACGTCGTCGCCGCTCTGCTGCCGTATGCGGAGCGAGATTGCAGACAAGGGACGCCTAAGGACCTCGACCGTCGCGCCTCGCCTGGAGCTGAGCCCGTCCGCCCGCTGTGCTTTGTCTTCGCTTCGTTTCAACCCTCTGCTTCACTCGCTGCACGCTCTGCACGCTCGCTCCCAGTCCAACAGTCGTTGCAGCTTTCTTGGCCGCCGACTCCCACGCTCACACAGCACCCACCGCCTCGTCAGGCCTCCGCTCCGCCGCCGCATCTCGCCTCCTCCGTCCCTCCCCATTCTCGCCCGCCTATCCCGTGAATCATGCGCTTCGCCGTCGCCATCGCCGTCCTTGCTACCGTCGCCTCGTTCACGGGCGTGGAAGCCGGTCACAAGAAGAAGGTGCAGGCGCCGCGGACGCTTTGCCCTGGGTCGGAGATCGCCTGTCCTATCCTCGGCTCTACGTACGCCGCTCTTTCGTTTATCGGACGCCGCAGAGGCTGACTTGCGTCTCTGCAGTACCTACTCGCAAGCCGTCGCGCACCACAACGGGCAGAACAAGACGGACGTGACGGGGATCATGGCGGGTTCGGGCGGATGTGCGTCTCCTTTCATTCGCATCTCCCTCGTCGCCCAGCGCTGACCTTCATTCCTCTCGCAGACGAGTGCGTCAACACGATGGAGGCGCTCGACTCGTGCGGAGGATGTGCGTCGACAGGCGAGGGCCAGGACTGCACCAAGATCCGCGGTGCCGCCGGCGTTGGCTGCGAATCCGGCCGCTGCGTCGTCTTCTCGTGCCAGTCTGGCTGGCGCGCATCGCTGTCGGGCACCAAGTGTGTCCGCGCCGCCGACATGAGCCGCAACAGCACCCGGACGGCGTCGAAGGCCGGCGCGAAGAGGCACCTCAAGGCCAAGCACGCCCGCCATCACGGCCACGCTCACCTCTCGCCTTGATCGCGAGCGCCATCACCTACCTTTCTTGACTTTGCATGCGTTCCCGTAATCGCCGCCGCCGCTGCTCCTCTTTCGATACCCTCTTCGCCTATCGCATGCTCTCCTTCATTGTTGCGGCGACGTCGCTGGCTCGTCCTGTCCCCGCCTGTTCCTTCGCATGTAGCCCTACCGAGCCTGCCGAGCGCAGCACCTGTGCCATTCACTCCAGACGTTCAGCCTCCTTCCTTTCCTTCCTTTCTCTTGCTCTTGTGCTTTGACGAGAGAGACGATCGTTTGTTCGCTGGACAGGAGTTGAAACAGACGTGTCTCATCGAGAAAGAGTCCGCGGACTTGCCAGTGCAGTCGCTGACGCTTTCTCTCTCTCCTCTCTCGCTCGCGACAACCACGTCCCCGCGCTGACCTCTCGCAGTGCGTCACAAGAGGGATGCCCAGGCTTCTCTGCTGCGCTGCTGCATTGAGCGGATCTTGATCGGCACGCGGGATGTCTCTCTCCTGACCTTCCTCCCCGAACAACAGATCTCTGCGCCGTCCCCTCGCTGTCTTTGTCATGAAGGGAAGACATCTCCACCGCTATGGATCAGCGCAAAAGGGCTCGTCAGCACGCCCGGTTGTCCTACCGAGACAGCCTCCCTCCCGTTGCCCGCCTCGACACTTCTCGCTCGTCTCCGTGCTGTCCTGCTTCTCCCCATTCACTCGCTAGGCCCTGCAGCTCCCGAGCGTCTCCAGCTTGTCTTGTTGTCGGCGCACACTTCGACTCGTAGCGCCCGTACGCCTCGACAGGCCCGCTCGGTCGACCGTCCCATTCAGTCCGACCCGTTTACACTCCTTTGAACCCGTCCCTCCTTTCCTCTGCGCATTCCCTTTCTCCCGACAGTAAATCCATCCAACGACCTCGACATGCGAACCGCAAGTCCCCTCGTTGTCCTCGCCTCGGTCGCGACCGCCTTCGCTTCGATCTCTCCTGCGCCCATCCCGAAGGACGCCAACCCCGTCTCGCTCCCCGCCAACGTCTCGCTCGACAAGCGCAACTTCTGCTTCCTCGGCATCTGCATCGGCGGAACGGACTACTCAAACGACGTGAACAACTGCGGCTGGGCAGGCCACAAGTGCCCGAGTAGCTGGGTTGGCGGCGGCGGAGCGCAGTGCATCGGCGGAATCTGCTTGCCGTCGTACTGCAACCACCTCTGGGACCTCGACTCGCTTACCGGCCAATGCCGCGACGTCTCGTCCGACGCGAGCAACTGGTGCGCCCCTTCTCTCCTTCGACTTCCACCGCTCGAGCTGACGGGTCTCGATTGTTGCAGCGGCAAATGCGGACAGACTTGCAACGTCGAGAATGCGGCGACGACGACTTGCATCTCTGGCCAGTGCTACGCCTCGGCTTGCAAGCCCGGCTACACCCTCTCCTCCGGCACCTGCACGAAGAACATCGACACCACCTGCGACGTGCGTCTCGCGCTTCTCCTTCTGTAAGCTATAGCTCACCTTCGCATTCGCAGGTCAACAACTGCGGCTCGATCGGCAAGAAGTGCCCGAGCAGCTGGTCTCACGGTTCGGGCTCGACTTGCATCCAGGGCGTCTGCCAGCCTCAATCCTGCAACGCCGGCTACGCCTTCGACCCGTCGACGTCGAGCTGCCGCGATGTCACGAGCGATACGTCGAATTGGTGCGTCCTTCGCGCCCAATCCCCCGTGAGCTTTCGCTGACGGCGTTACCTCTTCCTCTTCAGCGGTGCCGTCGGTAACGCCTGCCCGTCGTTGAACGGTGTCCCCCAATGCTCGAACGGCAAATGCTCGATGCAGTCCTGCTCGCGTGGCTACAACCTCGTCAACGGCGTTTGCGAGCAGGTCAACCTGCAGACTGACCCGAACAACTGGTGCGCTCACCCGTTCCTTTTCCTCCTTCCTGTCGGTACTGACGAGCTCGTCCTTGCAGCGGCTCGGTCGGAAACAAGTGCCCGTCGTCCTTCCCGAACGGCGTCGGCTCGACTTGCGTCAACGGTGTCTGCCAAGCTCAGTCGTGCAACACCGGCTGCATGTGGCACCCGTCCGCCAAGGCCTGCCTCGACGTGACGAACGACCCGAACAACTGGTGAGCTAGATCGACTCGTTCTGCCGCGACTTCGCGCTGACTTCTCCTTCTAACGCTCCGCAGCGGCTCCATCGGCAACATCTGTCCGTCGACGAACGGTCAGAGCTCCTGCAACAACGGTCAATGCGCCCTCAAGTCGTGCAACTCGGGCTACTACCTCCTCAACGGCGTCTGCACAAAGCTCAACCTCCAGACGGACACGAACAACTGGTGCGTCTCGTTCGCCGAACGTGAGCATACAAGCGATGCTAACGTCAAGGTTTCTCGTTCAGCGGCTCGCTCGGCAACCAGTGCAAGGTCGACAACGGCGTTGCGAGCTGCACGAGCGGTACCTGCGCCATCTCGAGCTGCAACCCCGGCTACCAGCTTCAGTCTTCTGGCTGGTGGTGGTGGGCGACGCAAAGTTGCGAAAAGATCAGCTGCGCCCAAGGCTTCGTACGCACGAGTCTGCTCACCCAGCCGCGAACGACCCGCTGACCTTCTCGCATTCGACAGGACTGGGACTCGAAGCTGAACCAATGCCGCGACGTCCGCTACGACACGAACAACTGCGGTGGATGCGGCAACGTCTGCCCGTCCGTGAACGGCGAAGCAGCCTGCTACAACGGCCAATGCTCGATGCTCAAGTGCTCGTGGGGCTTCACGCTCGTCGACGGCAAGTGCAACGGCGTCGACACGCAGAACGACCCGGACAACTGCGGTTCTGTCGGTCACGCCTGCCCGCGCACCTTCTTGAACGGCGGCCAGGCGACCTGCAAGAACGGCGTCTGCTCGACCATCTGCAACTCAGGCTTCGACTTCGACTTCGGCCTTGGCTTCTGCCGCGACGTCAACTCGGACTCGGAGAACTGGTGCGTCTCGCATCGCGACGTCTCCCATCTCGAGCGGAGCTGATCTCGTCGCGGTCTGCAGCGGAAGGTGCGGACAGAAGTGCCAGCTTCCCGGCGCCTGCGTGACGGGCTGCCAGAACGGACAGTGCTACGCCATCAGCTGCGACCCGGGCTACACGCTTCAAGACGGCGCCTGCAAGAAAGTCGACACGACTTGCGACAGTGCGGCCTTGACCTTCTCGATCTTCGCTCGTGCGCCTGCTAACACTTCTCCTCGCAGCCAACAACTGCGGCGCTCTCGGAAAGGTCTGTACGTTCTCGCCCCCTGGCGCGCAAGGCGTCTGCCAGAACGGCAAGTGCACCTTGACGTCCTGCCCGGCGGGCTACAATCTCGACTGCGGTCCGTCCTCACGCTTCTCCTCCTACGTCTTTCGTACTCACCCTCTGTTTCACGCAGACGTTTGCGTAAAGCTCGGCCCGAGCCAAGGAGCGCACTGGAAGCGCAACCTCAAGGCGAGCGAGCCAAAGCGTCTTTGCCCGGGCAAGAACGAACGGGCGTGCCCGATCACCGGCTCGACGTGAGCTGCCCGCTCTTATCTACGCTCACTGGAGCGCTTACTGACGAGGTCGCTGCCGCAGGTCCTTCGAGGCAGCGCTCGAACACCATTTCAACGCCGCTTCCGAGTTCTCCGGCGTCATGCTCGGTACCGGCGGCTACGAGTGTATCGACACTCAGCAAGCTCTCGATTCGTGCGGAGGCTGCGCCTCGACGGGCGAAGGACTCGATTGCACGAAGATTCGCGGCGCCGCCGGCGTGGGCTGCGAAGCCGGACGCTGCGTCGTATTCTCCTGCCGGCCAGGCTGGAAGCCGTCCATCAGCGGCGACAAGTGCGTTCGCCTACACCCGTCGGGCAGCAAGTCGAGCAACTCGACGTCGACGAAGCACACCAAGCGACGGCACGTCCAGCACCGCCAAAAGCACCTCCTTCACGCCCACCACTCTTCCTAATCCTCGGCTTCCGTAGTCTCGGACATTCTTGTGGCCCTCTGTTCATACCTACGCGTAGCTCTCCGCCCTGTATCGTTACCGCACACGTACCTTTCGTTCTTTCTCCCTACCCCTCTGTACCCAACGGTGGCCTTGCGTAGCTCCCCGCTGGAACGAAGCGCGCCATCCTGCCTGACACACGCGGACGATCCAGTCCGTTGCGGTGATTGATAGGTTGATTACGACAAAAGAGGAACGAAAGCGAGACTGTCAACCTGAGAAGAACGTCTATTCTGGCGTGTGAATATGCCGGCCGAGCGCGGCGGAAAGAGGCGGTTCGGGCTCGTCGAAGGAGTGTTCGCGGCGAGGCTGCTGAGTTGCCGAAATACGAGGCGGTGGAAGGGGTTCATCGAGAGGTTGCGGGTGTTCCGCCATCGGTGAGAGCTTTGGCGGGCTGAGTATGGCAGCCGGCGAGGCAGAGAGGGGTCGCGAGTGAGGCGGTGAGATCAGCGTCGGCGTGCTTCTACCCGGCGGAGGATTTGCGGGATGGTGAGCGGAAAGAGGCGAGGTCTCGGGGGCGAGGACGCCTGGCGTTGTCGCCTGGTCGTAGAGAGCGTAGACCGAATCAATCGAGCCGGCGCGCAGTGCTGCAGGCAGAGAGACATCAGCTGGTGGCTAGGGAAAGCTTGGTGGACGATGCGCACCTGGAGAAGAGCCGGTCGCCCCTTCCAAAGTCTCCCTCGGCACCGTGAGGTGCGTGCTAGACGCCGATGCTGACCTTCCGCGGCTGTCGTCGCCGGCACTCGCATTCGGACTCGCTGTCGAAGCCGATGCAAGGTCGACCGGAGCTCGCGGCGAGCTGATGTGGTCGCTGCTCTGGCGAGAGCGAACGCCGGAAGGCGGGTCGACAGGCAAGTCGCGGAACAGCGACGCCTGCTGTCTGATGAGGATCTCCATGACGTTATCCTTCGAGCCTTGCATAGCCGCTTCGAGCGACGCGACGTCGTCTTCGCCGAAGATGACCGAGGTGAAGATGAGAGCCAGGTTCGACGCGCTCATCTTGTTGACCGACTCGTGCTCGGCGACTTTCGCGAGGTGTTGACACAGCGCCTTGAGTGTCGCTTGCTGCGGTGGAGAGAGGCGGCGGATGCGGCGGGCGAGAGAAGCGATGGCAGTGTCGGAGGAGGCGGCATGCTCGGCGGTGAAAGCGCGGCGACTGCCAGATGAATGCATCAGCTCAGCGCGTCAGAAAGGGAGCGAGGCTCCGACGTACTCGGTCGGGAGGAAGGGGAAGAGCGGGACGGGAAGCTGGCGGAGGTACAGCTGCGGAATAAGCCCCGTCAGCATCCGCTCGACCACCAGCATGCTGCTGAACGCACCTTGAGGACTCCAGCGACTGCCGGCGGGTCGTCGTTCGGCCCAAACTCGAAAGCCTCCTCGCCCTTCTCCATACGGTGCACGATCTGCTGGATTGTCGCGAGCTTGCCTGCGGTGAGGGTTTGACGTGAGCAGGCGATGGTGGAAGAGATACAACCGAACGCACCTGGAACTCGGTAAATGCCCTCTTGGTCAAGACCCGTCGCTTCGACATTCGCGATGCTGCCGAAAGTAAAGTCAGCACCGGTCGGTGAGTTTGCAAGGGCGAGCTCGACACACCATCGCTGCACGATGAGAGGAACCAGCATGTTCGGATGCTTCGCATGGTAATCCTGCAAGCCGACGCCAAACAATAACGACCTGCATTCGCCAACGAAAGCGTTGACATCTGTCGAGACGAGCGTAAGCGAGCGAAGGGCAGTCAAACAAGAGCTGACGCACAGTAGACTGGGGGATCAGCCGGCGCGGGGTCTTGCACGCCGGCGAAGAAGGTTTGCGCGTCTTGCTGAGCGTCGATGCTGGCGATGTCGGGCACGAGATGGCTCGCAATCTGCTCGACAAGAAGTCAGCTCCGTCGTTACGAACTCTGACTGTCACACGCACCGCCGTATGCGTCTCGCCGAGCAGGATCTCATCCGACACGCGCTTCTCCAGCTGAGTTTTGAAAGTCGAGGCGAGCTCGTTGACGAACTCCTTCAGCGACTCGCGGGCCGAGGTCTGCACCCGTTGCTTCTGGAGGCGCAGCGTCTCAAGCTGGAAAATGCCGGATCGGTAGTCGCGGTCTGCGTGCGAGAGGGTCGTCAGTCTTGTCCTCCGTGAGCGAAGCTGAGAACGCACCGGCCTGCTCCGCCTCACGCTTCAACTTGCTGCCGTACTGCTTGTTCCGCACCGTACGCGACGGTCCCAGCGCCGTAGCCGGATCCGCTCCCTTCGCCAAGTTGCCGACCGCACGCACGATCGAGTTGACCCGGTGCTTCTCGCCCGACCAGTCGCGCTTCGCGATCGCCTCGAAGACGTTCTGCTTGCCGGTAGGAGGGTCTCGGTAGGCGGAGGGAGCTGCGGAGGAGGAGGATGTTGCGCCGGAGACGAAGACGGGGGCGAGGGCGGGAGAAACGGCTGAACTGGGAGGAGAGTCGATGTCGCTGGCGCTGCCGCCCGCCTTGGACGATGCCGCCGAGTCGCTGCGGTTCCTGCCGCTCGTCACAGGCCCGTTCTCGTGATTGAGCCAGTGCTCGGGCGGCCAACCCTCTTCCTTCCCTCCCTTGCTGCTGAACGCAGGATCCTGGTCCTTCGCCGTCTCTGCCTCCTCATGATGCTGCAGCTCCTCCACTTTGCGCTCGTACATCTTCCTCAGTCGCTGGACGACCCCCTTGTACTCGCCATGCTCGTTCGCCGTCGAACGCAAGTCCTCCCGGATCCTCCGCCTGATGCGGTCCTGTGTTCCAAGGCTCGTCAGCGGTGAAGGGGACCTCGGAGACGCCTTGAGCGCACCCTGTCGTCCCGCAAGGTGCTCAGCGTCTTCACCAAGCGGTCCAGCCCGTCTGCCGTCCCCTTGTGAGCCCTCGCCTCGTCCTCGACTGCGTTGCGGACAGCGAGCCACGCCCGTCTCCAGCTCGTCGGGACTTGCGCCTGGAGGCTGTGGACCACGAAGCAAGGTCAGCCAGTCACTACAGGGCCTTCAAGGCGGCGAACTCGAGCGTACTCGTCATCCAACGCCCGATCACCCTGCTGGGCCTTCAACGAGAGCTGTAGATGGCGACAGGGTCAGCGAGCACCGCGAGAACAGCCAAACCCTGCCTACATACCTTCCTGAGCGCATCGACGTAGTCCTGCTCGATCTCTTGCCTGTGGGACGTCCACGCGAGGTCAGTGCATGCGGCGGGCGGTGAGGAAGCGAACGAGGGAACGACTCGCCGCCGCTGGAAGAAGTCGAGGTACGTGTTGACCTCTCGAAGCAGCCGCGAGTGCACGTCGTCCATGCGCGCCGGTCACAGAGCGTGAGGAAGCGAAGTAGCGAGTGGTCAAGGTCAGCGAACGCGAAGTCCGAACGAGACGTCGGCGACAAGTTCTCTCAGTGAAGCGTACTCTCGAGTCCAACGACAAGTCAGAGATGAAGAAGGCACGTTGCAACAGCACGCTACAAAAAGGAGGTCGAGGGAAAGGACCGCGCGCGTGTATTGCCTCAGGGTTAAAAAGTACTCCTCACACCGCCCCACGCTGTAGCGGGAGCGGTAGGATGAAGAAATTCAAGTTGTTGCGTCTGTGGTTATCGTCCTTGGCGCGCGCGCGGTCTCCCTCCCTTCTCCTCCTCCTCCTGCGAGTCCGACGTCGAGAGAAAGGCGACGACTTGGCCATTGTGTGCTAGGGCCAGCCGCGCTCCTCCAGTCGTGTACAAGCCTGGCGAGGCCGATGAGAAAGAAAGCGAGCGAGACGAGCCGGATGGAGAAGAGCGAGAGTAAGCCCCATTCCGTTACCCGACCTCGAGAGAACGAGGGGGAGCGGTCGCATAACTGTGCATGAATGACGAACGGGTCGTCGACCGGCTCAAGGGGCGCACTGACTCGCTGCCTTGAGGTCCGCCTCGTGTATGCCGGGCCACTCGGCCCCAATCTCCCGCCTCCCGCCGACTACGCCGCGTTCTGACAGCTCGTATCTTCGCTGCATGGGCGAGCACGACGCAGTCGGCGAGGTGAGCGAGAAGTGAGGCCGTTCCCGTCCTCGCCCGCCAGACGGTAATCCACCCCGAGAGGCATTTCCCGCCCGACGACGCGAGGAGAAGGGAAAAGACGCAGCCTGGCGAGGTCAGGACAAGCAAGCGATGGCGCCCCGAGCACGCGGTCGACAGTGCACCTCCGGAACCTCGAGCGAGCCGTACACGAGTCCTTCAGACTCGCAGGCAGCGCTCAAGAGTCCCACCCTCGCCCTTGAAGACCGCACACTCTCCCATCCCCCTCATCCCCCGAACCGCAGAGCCCAGTAGCGCCAACCCGTTTTCCCGCCGGGTCGAGGACGGCCGCTTTCCGGCGGGTTGGCGCGAGGGAAGCAGTGCGGTCGTGTGAGGGACGTTTGGCGAGGAGGAGGAAGCCGACTGGGGCGAGCCACGAGGGCTGCGCGCGCGAGTCGAGGGGTGCGGCTGGGCTGCTAGCGGGTCGTGGAGGGCTCAGAGTGTCCGGGGACTGCAGCAGCGGGCGAAAGAAAACGTTAGCGGTCGTCGAGGGCGAGGAGGAGAACGGGGAGCGCACCTTTTCCCACAGCCGACGGGAGCGGGCGAGTGCAGCGTGACAGACTCGCTGTGTGCGGTGCTGCGATGAGTAGCGACCCTTCGCTCGTCTCCTGCCAGAGCTCGATGAGGGAGAAGGAAGAGGAGCGAGAGGCGAGCTCGCCAGGCCAAGGGCACTCACGCCTCCCCTCGAGTCGCTTACAACGCTTTGTATTGCTGATTACACTCGCCCGATTACAACTCGACACTCTCTCTTCTTCGTCGCCGAGCGTCCGTGCGAGTGTCCTGTGCATTGCATGCATCGAGCGAGAGTCTATATAGCACAGAGCGGAGTTCATGGGAGACGAGAGGAGGCGTGGGAGGACGGTCAGGCAGACTGGGCGGGCACAGCAGTCGGCGCGAGGCTGACGACGGCGAGCGAAGTGTTCGGAGACGACGCCGCATCGACGCTGGACGACGTGGGCGAGGCGGCGGCGACGTAGATCCTCAGCGGGACAGTCGAGGAAGATGCGGGAGTGTCCACGGTGGTGGAAGACGGGGCGGACGTCGCAGCGGGAGTCGGCGTGTCGGCTATGACGGGCGAGGACGTGGAGAGGATTGTCGGCGTGACGACGCTCGAGGCGGGAGTAAAGAAGCTGGGCGCCGAGTCGACAGGAGGAGCGGCGGTCTGAACGTCGGGCGAGGAGGGCGCGGGCTGGACTTGCTGCGTCGTAGCCGGCGCTGCGATGTCGGTCGTCGGAGGTGAAGCCGCGGGCGTAAAGGTTGAAAGGGGAGTCGGGACGACAGGCGGCGACGAGGCGGGTTGGAACTGCGTCGGTTGAGGAGCGGCGTCGTCGTTCGGGTTGACGGCGACAGTAGGAGAGGCAGAAGGAGGACCATCGGCAGGCGTGAAGGACGACGGAGAGCCAGGAGAACCTGCGGCGGGCGCGAAGGCGGAAGGGTAACCAGGAGGACCGGGAGCAGGAGTGAAGGCGGACGTCGAAGGTTGCGCGTCGGGCGTCTCGGCTGCGAACGAGACTGTCAGCGGAAGTTTCGCGTGCATGCGAAGGAGTCAGTGCACTCTGCTGCGGGGCTGCTTGCGTCGCCTGGTCGCCCGCATCCGTCGTCGTTGCTGCGAAACCAGTGGTCGGTCCCGCATCTGCAAGTGCAGTGTCAGCGCTCATCCCGTCTGTGTAACAGTCTTGGCGACTCACCCGCACTCGAGAACGCCGGTCCAAGGATATCCTCCGCCCCAACCCGTCCAGGCAACGCATTCCCGACGGACTGGATCCCGCCGAATCCGTTTGCGATCTCGAGCGGGTCGATGGCGGTAGGCGAGGGAGCAGCTGTGGTGGTAAGCGTAGGAGTCGGGGTGGGAGAAGGGGCGTCGAAGTAGTCGGGCGAGGAGGGGGTTGCGGAGTCTTCGTTGTCGATGGGCGGCGCAGCGGAAGAGGAAGAGGAAGCGGCGGGATCAGCGGCGGCGGGTTGGCCGAGGATGGCACCTGCAAACGCATCGTTAGCTCGACGTGAATGAGGATAGCGAGAGCGAGCGCACCGATGGTCTGGCTGTCGAACTGCCTCTTGACGAAACGGACGAGTCCTCTCAAGCCAAGGCTGTCGCCGCTCGTAAGCCCCGAGAGGAAGCCGGAGACGCCGTCGTCGAGTCCAAGGGTACCGATAAGCGAGCTGAACGGCCTGCTGTCGGTCGTCGACGAGCTGGCGACCGTGTCTGCGAACGACGAAGGGTGAGAAGGTGTCTGAGGAGACTGAGCAGAACGCACTCGACTGGGTCTTCCCATCGACCTTGCTCGACTTGTAGCACGCCTCTTCGTAGTAGTACTCCTTGCCGCTCGAGTCCTTCTTGTAGCCGTCGTTGATGTAGACGTCCTGGCCGTTTTCTGCGGAAGAGGCGAGTCAGCTCCGGCCACGACGATGCGAGTGCGACTGGACCCACCGTCTTGCGCGAGAGTGTCCTTGCCGTACTTGAGGGACGTGATGTCTGCAAGAGAAGGGTCAGCGTGCGGACGGAGAGAGCTGGAGGGAGAAGCACTCACCCTCGGCGTCGAACAACGTCAAGTAGCATATCTCCTGGTACGCCACGGTCGCGACAGATGCCTTGCTAGACGCATCGAGGCTCGAGGCAGCTCCTCCGGTGTCTGCAGAAGGGTGAGCTTAGACAGTCCGGGT